ATGGTAAATTGTCACAGACCAACTTGAGATCGTGGAAAGATTAAGGTACAAAAATATCTAGAAAATGCAGTGAAAAGTAAATTAAGCGTCGGAGCCAATTTGTCATGGCCATCTCTGAAAAAGACTTTCGAGAAATGGCGCCATACTAAAAATATCAATTAACAGTTCTGTGCATTTCGCAGGCGGGAAAAGTACAAGGTCATCATCAAACTATTTCCTATAACACTCTTATCAAAAATTTTTTTCCATTAAGACTGTCCTCTCGACATTTTTTATAGGATTGCTCATTCAACAAGGAGAACAAGCTGCAGCCTGATACAGCTATTGAAGTCTCATTCCAGCGAGATAGCGACACATAGGGCTGTGTGAAAAATAATCTGAAGCATTGAAGACTTACATTCTAAAGATAAATTTCGTTACCCGAAAACAGTAACAGATGTGACCCTTACGCTGATAAAAAAAAAAAACCTTTAGGTCTCGAAGATAAATGAAACACCTAAATCAGTGGTAATTATAGAAACATCACTTTCGAGAATATATCAATAAGAGACACAAAAGTATCGTTGTTAATTTTAACTTAATAACACAAGTCTGCAATTTGTACCATTAATGCACAAAAACAGATTTGGAGATGAAAATATATCTCGCCGCCTCAATGTAAGTATGAGTACAATACTAGACCATAGAACAAATAAACATGATATCAGGCGCTTCGTAGTCTCCTGAATATCGCTTATATCCTGCCGCAGTTTGTTAATTGTTTCTGTATCTGTGATACTAAATGACGGGTCAAACTAACCAATGATATCATAGGTGTGGGGGCCATTTTTTGTCGGGGGAGGGGGAGGGAGTGAACTACTTGCCCAAAAAATTGTAGAAAGTTGCCCAAATTGTTATGAAACAGTCGAAGAGAAACAAGGTTCATACGATAAACTAACATTGGCCTACATGTGAAATAAATATTTCTTACACATGAATCTATCATATGAGCCCAAAAACACGTTAAAAGAAACAGCTGTCTCTGCCATTTCGACGGCTAAAGATATCAATGATACAATCCATTGTTGACTACAGAGTTGGCATATGCCCTTTTACTGTTAATAAATGCGATGTTACTGACACGTTGTTGCTCCATAGTGCTACAGAGGTAAGTTTTCAATCGGTGGAACGGACTGAATGCCCGTTCTGAGGATCACGATGTAGCAGGTATCATTGCAAGAATATGTACCACTTTAGAACACTCTGGAAACGTATCAAATAGATCATTCTCGTGTACAACCCTTAGCATCTCTGAAATAGTCATCAGTGTGGCCTAATCCGCGCACACATCGCAAACTCGCGTACATGTTCTGCTAGGTTTCCAGAATTTCGTCGTCGATTTTGTAAAATTTAGCAACACGAAAGAAGCTTTCTTCATTAGGTGTTTCACTGTAACAGATATTTCCCAGAGCACAGATTATTTCCTGTTCTTTTTCTCTGAACCTGGGCTGAAGCTTGGTCAGCACCATGTCGATGGACGCATAGTAAGTGTTCATACGGTGGTGCGATTCCGATGTCTGCTGCGTTTGTCTTTGCACGTGATCACCTACAAAGTCTTGAAGGCTGCGCGATGGCGTTTCTCAGAGTGCCCAGGCTTCTCGTAATTCAAACTGAGAACTGGTTAACCACCTCTTAATTTTCAGACCCATTACCAACAGTATTTGCCATACACTGTTGAAACTTTCTTCACTACGACACTGGCGTATGGTCTGTATGGTCATGTCGGCATTTCTACAACTGCAGATGACATCGCCCGTCTTCCCTGAAGATATTAGCACAGACTATAAGTGTTGTTCAGAATTATACTCAGCACTCACAGTCCGAAGATGGATTTAACTGAATTTACCACGCCTACTTAAGCTTCAAATAAAAAAATATCGCTTTCATAAAAAAAAAAAAAAAAAGACGAAGTAAACGAAACATGGAAACTTTTGCAAAAATTGGTTTTGCCAAAATTTCTCTTGCTGCCCAAAAAATCTGAGTTGCCTCCCAGGGGGAGGGAGGGGGGACGGTGGCAGCCCCCAGCTCCCCCGGCCCGTACGCTCATGGGTGCTATCACCTGTTTCTTCAATCAAACACATTGTAGTTTCAGTCAAATTTGATATCATTGAGACGGGTTGGTATTTTGTATCATCATTAAATGTCGATAGATTTTGAACACCCCACCTCAAGATAAGCTTGAGTCTAGCATGCAGCGTTCGAAAAGGTTTATACTATTTTAAAATGGATCCAATAACATGAATACCGAGATCGAGCGAAGGACAAATGAACATTATATTACAGACTATATCGAACTTTCCTTCTCAATATTTCTCGTTTGATCAGAGTAAGTAGATTTTGTGGCCCAGATTTTTCTGCGTAATTTCCTGAACATGAGTGAAACATTGGTCTGTTGGTCAGTACGTGCTTCATTAGTGAACTGATAAGGATATCACATTCAAGTTGTTTACCAGGTGTGTGGGTTCGAGTAGCTTCAGACATCCTTATCATTTAGCTCCAGCGCTTTTTAATTTAGATTGTCATTTTGACATGATAACTAACAGTTTGCATTTAATGACATTCGGCAGGATAAAAAATAGGCACGTACATAAGGAGACATTTTGCAGCGACCACAAAGCATTCGCGTGAAACAATCATCAAAGTATGGCGAAGCTTCTGATCCTCGCTGCTTTGTTATCTTTCTCATCCAAAACGAGAGTAAGTTCCATGGGAACAACCACCAGTCCTCAACAACAGAATCCTCAAGCTGGCGCTGACAAAGACCCATGTGAGGTACTCTTAAGCATGCTTTATCCACGATTATTTACTACAAAATCGCATGTACTTCATGAAGCGTTCATTTTATCATACCTCAGTTTACCACTCATGTCTACCAAGCTGAGCAAAAAACAAATCCCTCATCAATCATAAGTCTCAAAGACAAAGGAAAACATTGCTTGAAAAAGTTTTCTTTTAGGAGTATCTCCACAACGATGTGAGATCATCCAATATTCCAAGCTGTTTCTCCTACAACGAAGCTAAATTCTCAACGTGATTAGTTTCTGAAGAAACTGCTGTGCTACTTCGACGGACACGTAAATATCATTAAACATCAAGTACATCCATTGAATAATTATATGTTCTTTCTTCTTTTTCAGAAATCCATTTTTGCTCACGGATTTTCTGGGATTCCAGGATCGAATGGCATACCAGGAATGCCGGGAATTCCTGGCGCCCCAGGGCCGCAAGGACAACAAGGAAAAGATGGAGTTAAGGGGGAGCCTGGTGTCAAGGGACCGAGAGGTATGACGGGAACAAGAGGACAGAAAGGAAATCCAGGGTCATTGGGTAAAAATGGTG